CTTCACTTCGACTATGCAATACATAAGAAATAGTTTGGTTGCAATAAAGTAGAATCACGTAACAGAATAGTTGTATAGTTGACAAAAACTGAATCTTGCACTGACGCAAATGTCCTAAAGCGGCTGCTAGGGGCTTACACTTTTGTTGTATAACTGTCACCTGCAGCCCTTATATAACCTCTTAAATGACTGAAGCGCCCATTCCACTTGCATAGCTGTTCTAAGTGGGTTTTGCCAATGTAATCATTCTTGCAACTCTAATAGGAGTGATAATTTTTAGTTGGGATATATCCGAAGAAGTTGGAAGGACATATCAGGCACTTGGATAAACACTTATTTCTTTTGTATCACAAGGTTTAGAGAGTTTGAATTAGCTATCGGTTTTCACAACTCAGTAATTCTAATTTTGCCAATTTCCTCATTTTTGAATATTATGATGGGAGATCTTCTTAACAGACGCTTTTTACTTCACTCGCCTACTGGAGAGGAAGTATTTTTTGGATGTTACATGACATGAACATCACGGAAAATCATGTCACTCATTTTCGTCAGTCGGTCGGTCTGTCAAAAACAAACAAAAAAGATCGCTCAAACTTTTCAATTCAATTTTTAGGGTATAAAATTGGGGGGATGGATGGATCAATACACTTTCAATCCCCATAATTCTTCTCACCCATTAGACATACTTTGCACATAGATTAGAACGATAGAAAAGTGTTTTCGGCAAGTGCCCTTGCGTCTGCTGACTTTAACGGCTGCGGCCGGCGTATCACTCTTAGTAAGTGCCCTGCATGACTGGTGATCTGTGGGCGCTCTACCGCATGTTACGCATCATGGTTTTAGATAATGGGGGAGGCTACGCGACGTTGCCAGATGGACGGTACTCCGGGTAGGGCAGGGAAAGCATATTATGGACTAATTGTACAACCATTCTTAACGGGCTTGATCCGTTTAATTTCTCTGTTATACTCGTACATATTCGCAACTAACGTTTTTCTTAGAAGATCGTACATCCAACCACACACAGCTGTTTCGTGCTATTTTGGCAACTCATCAGCGTAGTCTAGGACAACAAACGAACGCATAGCAACTACACTCTATACAGGATATAAGGTCCATGGTGCTGGCTTACTTCAGTAGGGTATAACTTGTACTGAAAATAAAACTGACGGATTGGTACTTTGTCTACGATAAAAACATATATGTAGTGGCGTACAGTAACACAAAGTGATTGGAAAAATTCAGGTTACATATTGTTTTACTGAAATGAGGTGAATATTTAGTTTTATCAAAATAACACTACGGATCGTTCGTGAAACCATCCCCTTTTAAATTCACTATTCTCACCCTTAAATCAAAGGCGCGATATTATTAAGAGGCCTTTTACAATCGATATTAAGAGCGTGAACGAATTGTGTCCACTTTCATCAATATAGATATTTTCGACCCTATGATTCCACACTGACATATTCATTCAGATGATAACTGTCAAAAAATTAAAATCTTCCCAAGGTATCGGCCTTGGAAGAATATGCCTACGATTCAAAATCTTAGGAGCCGAAGTTGCGATTTTGATCCAAGTTGGAGAAATCCGCCTTTGAAAGCCTCATCCAGTACTGCTTCTCTTGCACAATTGTAAAATGAAATAAATCGAGTATAGGTGGTTGTGGACAAAGTTAGGAGAACCGTTATCTTTACGTCTCGTCGGTTTAACCGAAATTTCTCTCCTCGTCACTTATTGGAACATACTTTTATGGTTGAGAACAAGCTTTGCTATTTGAGTAAATTCTGAACAATCTTCTCATAAAGAATTTGTTTAACTAACCATTTGAAAAATGAATGCCATAGTCACTTTATCCCCATTGAAACAAAGTCAGTAGTAAGTATCTCTGGTAATTTTGTTCTATAAAGCTATAGTAGTTGTGACACTTCCTCCACTTCAGGAACTCAGATTTAGTTGTCACATCACCCAAGTAAATAAATATCAAATTCCGTATGTATTATATTTTTTCACTAACAATAGCAAAATTTCTTTTATGTAAGCTGCTTGACAGACATGAAACGTCATAACCAATTCATTAAAATTCATTGATTCACATAACCACATAACATTTACAATCAGACTCCTAAAATATAAATACAGTAACTACTACCGTATAGAACTGGATGAAACGATTTCAAAATAAAGCTCCATATTTTTTTGGTCATATAAAACCGCACGTGTAGGAATTACCAAAGTTTCGGCCACAACGGTAGAATTTTTTTACAGTACGGATCAAAATGATAATGACTATATATACATATATATATACAGGTATATATATATATATATGTTCGGGTGGATTGATATTTGTAACATTTAACGAAGGTATCTGTCGTTTTTCAACAAGCCCAATGTCCCCGTCCTTTTGTTTTTATACTGATTATAAGTTCGATCTTCTCTACGTTCGTTCTGAAACACCTTGTGGCTGCAACCTCACCGACGAAATCCTGATGAAGGCTCCATAGAGAATGCCGAAAGCTTGATTTTATCGTCAAAAGAGTCAACTTAAGCCTAAAGGTTTTCCCAATTAACAATTAATTGTATTTTGTACCCAACTGGTCGTTGGCTTTGGCAATGACTACTGCTCATATATATATATATATATATATATATATTTCTATCAGCATGGAAACCACAGACTAAGTATCAGATGTTACATTAAGTTATGGAAATATGAAATATTACAATGAGAAATCTTTGTGGCGTAGGTGTTTTTATAACTTATTAACCTGAAACATTTTTTCCCATTCGTAAGAACATTGGAGTCATATTACTAATGTTATTATCACTTTTTTGAACATATTTCAGAATTGCCGAATGCTCCAACACTATGGAAATTGGTGAAGGTTATTAGTGATATTTGTACTTCTGAAACATATTCATCAAGGTCGTTTCGTGATTTCAGTCACTAAAAAGGGCAATAAATAATACCTTCAGTAGATATGCCACAATGACAACTGTTAAAATGTCCGAAAGACGTATTGGAAGAATTTGAAATTTAAAATTAGAGCTTTGTCATGTTAAAAAATGGTGAATGTAACGCCTAACCAGATGCAACTCGGTGTCTGGTCGTATCGTATAATTATATTGAATTAAAAAAACCACAAACATTCAGTTTCACCAAAGTCATACAGAAATATTGCGCTCTGTAGAAATACGCTACTTAGTCATGCCATATATCCAAACATCTTAGGCTCCCAGCTCCCATTTTTATAAAATACAACGAATGTTCAAACATTATGGGAAGTGTTAGAATAAATGAATGTGGCTTGATGTTTTCCTTCCAGCAGAAAGTGATTTGATTATGATACAACATATAATTTGTGATGGGTCAAGTATAAAGTCTGTTACGATAAGAATGACAGGTATGACACCTCAACAAAGACTACATAATTCAAAGGAATCCCAAACGTTAAATTTTGAATATGAACTCTCACCAACTGCCTGGGGTATTCCTTAACGGACTTTTATAACGGACATTAAGCATTTACTTAAAGTCCTAAACAGCGCTCTGCAAAATACAATTACTCAAATGGAGAACGCGTTATATAAAATCAACTATTTAATTATTACTCCTTTTGTATATTTATTATATTATAAATAATGAAATAACCGTCGGCTTATATATCAACTGCGAAATAGTTGCTGCATTATGCAGGTGGTTGTGAATGCATTCATGAACGTTGGTGTTATTTCACTCGCACCAGCTGTCATTTGATCGGCTGATATTAGTTGATGATGAAATGGATATATTTGTATTTGGCCGTCTCGTTGCATTGCCAGACGTTGATGAGGTCCTTGGCCTCCTCGTACAGGGACCATGGGTTTGCGCAAGTATTTCCGTAAACATACATAGGGAGAGTTGCTGAAAACGAGATTCACTTATGCAAGTAGGGGGTGATTTAAGATATTACGTAAGCAGAATTTTAGTAATATTCCAAACTTCACTTGCTCTGAGATAAATGAAAATCTAGGCTATCCTCTCATATTGTCTAGAAAAGCTTGTAACGTACCATATTCACATAACTTTTTTTCTACTATTTTGATCCCTTACCAATAATTTTATATCTCATTATTAATGACGAAGTACCGATTCCTAGGCCAAACCCTTTTCAATGATTTTTTTGCGGGTTTCATAATTTATTGATCTATTGAGCTTCAACCTACCTATAATCCAGAAAGTATAATTTCACACATATTATATCTTTATTTCTTAGCGACTCTCAGTATTGTGTCGAGATCGTTTGGGCACAAATGTTATATTTTATTAATGACTTACTCGTGTTATCCCAGAAATGTCCGAATGAAACCTCGTTGGTTCCTCGTAAACTGATTTATTATACTTGAAACATTGTTTATAATCTTTGATTGCGGAACTTTTCTTCATTTCTAAACGCCTCTGTCAGGTTTTTGGGATTGTTTTGTCTTCCTTGGGCGAAATCTTGTTTCGTTATATCTAGATAGAATAGTAGACAGTTTGGTTTGAGAATCGGAATTTTTCATTTGTTATTATTATTTTTGGCACAGATTTTGGTTTCGATATAGTTTTGGTATCGATTCTGCGGAGTGGCGAATTTTGGTACGCCCTCATACTCTTGTCGATGATTGACAGCGAACTGACTAGGGGAGAGCTTCCGGAAAATTCGTGTCAGTGATTTCCTGCTGAAGCCTTGCTTGGGATGGTGTATCAGCCCTTCATTTCAGCGAGAGATGCTCTATCGTTAAGGAGCTGCTTATCCCGGTAATAACGGAAAATTTAAATGACAATGAAAATATGCTCATAATTCGAAATACATGAAACCTTCAATCGTATGGTGCATACATCGTTCAATGCCCCTTTATGGTGTCAAGTAAATTGACTTTATATCTCCCGTTCATTCATATGGCTCGATTACACGTACCGATTAGTCACGAGGCAATTGAATTCTACTTAGCCGAGAGAATGATTCAGGTCCTTCTGTGTGTTCCTTAACCCTTTGTGTGTCAGTGGTTCCTCTGTGGAACCATAACTCAAATATCAAATATCTGTTGGACAAGTACGTGCCGGATGGAGCCACATCATATTACAGTTGCGTGGGGGATATCCGCCTCACGACATTTGTGTTCAGCTCTACTTACGCCTGTAACCGGCTTTGTTTATGCATTCCAATTTGCTAGTAGGTTACTCCTTTCCCGCACATTTATTTTACACCCTATGAAATTTAAGTGATAAACCATGGCAGGTGAGTCTTTAGTTATTTTCATTTATTGATGTACACCCAAGGTTTATATGCTATAAAGCTGAAATTCTTTAGAAACTACTTATATATTTTTGAGGTTATGTATTGTGGTTCCTCATGGGACCACTAGTACGCGAAGTATATTCCATAAATGAGAATTTTTTCAATTTCAGATAAGCAGATATGGAAGATATCTGAATTAGAAAAACTGTCAGCAGAGGAATTCTACAAGTTCTTAGATGAAATTCCTTCAGATAACGAATCGGTACAAACGGATTGCCATAGTGATGAAGAGGAAACTTTCGATCTGACACAAGATGAAAATTCAGCTAAACAGGCCGCTTTAGCGTTGGATAACAGCGATGATGGCTTGGACTATGATTCAGAGGATAATTTACCGTTAGCAACTTTTCTGCCAAATCTAGCTGCAGTACCAAACTTCCATTGGTCGCAAAATGTTAACAACTTTATTACAAAGGTTCCTTTCACTGAATTATCAGGTCCTAATGGTTTTCCGGACAATGATGAGACTCCGCTACAGTTTTTCATGACTTTATTCTCTGAAGAACTTTTACAAGAAATAGTTTTTCAAACAAATCTGTACGCCACTCAAAAGAATGTTGGTAACTCACATGTGCCTACAAACGAAATGAAATGTTTTCTAGGCATAAATATTATGATGGGGATAAAGTCATTACCAGCTACAAGGACTTCTGGTCATCACGTTTTGTCTTAGGCTAGTAAAAGATTACAACCAATACATGGGATATGTTGATAAGATTGACCGGTACAAATCCTGCTACGAAATAAATCGCAGATCTAAAAAATGGTGGCACCGCATATTCTGGCACTTCATAGATCTGACTCTCGTCAACGCATTTATTTGTTTCAAAGAAAAAAGTGTTGACCTCGGGAGGAATTTGTCTCTAAAACACTTTCGACTTGCAGTTAGCAACGGATTGATTGGATCGGATCCTGAAAAGCCTCAACGAGGAAGGCCCAGTTCGAATGCTATTGTTAATAAATTTAAGCCACACATTGCTCTAAAAAGAAGGATTAGTAAAGCTGCGCATATGCCGGTCCATGGCAATAAAGTTAGATGCGCTAACTGCCAGTACCAGAAATGAACCTCACAGGACCAGATGGCTACTACTCTTCTTGCAATGTTGGGTTGTACCTAACAGATAAAATAAATTGCTTCCTTTTGTTCCATATGAAATAGTTTATCTTTAGATTGTGTGACTCTAGTACGCAATGTTTTTATTCAAGAGATTATTATTCTTTTTGATTTTTGTTTTCTGACTGAATAATATTTTATTTAAAATACATTATTTTTACAAAAAAAATTGCTTTATTTTCCTAGTGGTTCCAGCATGGAACCATATTATTATGAAAAAAACAGAATATGTAGGGTAGTTTTTTATGAAAGTATGACCTAATAGTTATTTGTTGATATTAACTTTTCAGGAATTGAACAGATTTTGAAAAAAAAAATAAATTGGGCCACAAAGGGCACCTCTGCAACTCGAAAAGTACCGGTTTAATGATACGTTTACACAATGCGACTACTATGCTAAGGACGCAAAAGTAGGAAATAGTAAGTTTTGAAAACTGATTCAGTAGTGACAGAGCTACGGAGAAAGGAATTAAAAATATTGAACAATTATTGAATAAACCAACGCTAACGATTCGATGTACATATTTATTTGAGCTTGCACCGATTTGGTTCGTGCCTAATTATGTATATAGACAAACACTACAACCATAGCTTGGAATGTTACTTCGTGGGCCAACGCTGTGATAGCAGCTGAACTCCGTAACACACCTGACTACCCAGTCTCCCATATTCAATAGTTACTTATGTTACTTTTCAGTTACTTTGAGGTTTTGAGGATTTCAATTAAGGTTTGTAGAACACTAAGCAAGTCTATTTTGTGCTAAATTTTATTTGATTATCTTTATTAAAATTATCAAATTTTTGTTAGTTGTGTTTTTGTCCCTCTGCACCAGAACATAGCTCATATTTATACTTTCTCATTTTTCTACGGTAATTAGGTAATAAAACTGGTTTCCCTAGTTAGAAACAAATGTAGGTGTAATACGTCCAATTAGTAACTTGATTACCTTACACGTGACCCCTGAAGCTGCAAAGAAGGAGTCGTCCGCTCCATAGTCTAGGAGGTGGCAAGTGAAAATCCTGATTAGTGATAGTTTTGTTTGTTGAGGTGAAATTCTTTTTGTTTCAGCTACTCAAAAATAAGATTTAGGCGGTAGTATTACCTGTCTGGTTCGTTTGCAAGTGAATTGTAAACCCATTTCCGAAATGTTTGGGCGGTTTTAAGGTTAACTTCAATAGCTTTTTAGGATAATTACAGGCACCTTTGAGTTAAAAGAGCAACGTTATTGCATTTTCATTGAAAGTGGTGCGCTTACAAGTGCAAAGTTTTTCAAGAAATATTCTGATATTCATTTTTCTGGGTAAGATAATGTATTAGGAGTCAAAACCTGACCATCTCCTAAGCCGCCCAAAAGTCACCGAAACAGACATTTCTCTTCTAGAGCTTTTTTTTGAAACAACATTGAATAGAGGAAGTATGTATGAGTTATGATCATAAAGACTTTAAAATTCTAGATAACAGGTTTGTAACTATACGAAACCAAAGTGGCTGTCAATCATTTTCGATTTATTTGTCACCCTGTAAATCTGTCAGTTGCCACAGTTTTTTTGTATTCCCAGTAGCAGCTAAACCGATGCTGATCAAATTTGCGGTAAGGCGCACTTTCAACCTTTTGAATAATTCTTTAATGTCTTTTATTGAGAAACTTTTCTCGGCATAATTGCAAAACTATTAACTTCCTAATTCTTGCTTTAACATCAACCAAATAATATCGACTATAGACCAGAACGGTAGTTCTCTTCTCGTATAATGGTTTATTGATTTAAGGTTTATATATATATTAAATGTTCTTTTTAGGAATGTATAACCGGAGAATCAGGCTGAAAAAATTAAGTATGCATTATTAGTAAATATATAATTTCTGTGTTCAGCTATATGTAAATAAGTGACAAAGTAAAACAACTTTTAACACACCCACTGCCTGAACTGTACTTTGTCGCGGGAAAACCAGCACGCAGCGATAACTACCTTATTTATCTCAACTAAGCGTGACAGTTAACAAATAGCTCAACATGAGGTTACTACCGAACAGTTTACTTACACTTCCTGCTGTCTGATCCAGTTACTTTCCGTAAGGATCTTATTAGCAAGATAGATTCCGGTCATTACCGGAGAATATTAAACTTGTGGGATGTACTGCCACTCTCGTTGGCCAAAGTAAGAGGGTATTTTCGTTATAAAGTTAGCCCTCGGACCCTCTGAACGATGTCTTTATCGGTTAGTTGTGATGAGTTTAGGTTGATAGTTTAACTAGATAGTGATACTTATTACCTATTATGATGATCATGATGATTGTTAGCCATCAGAAGCGATGGAGAGTTAGATGAGGCTCAGCCTGATTTCCAATGAGGAAAGCGGTAACTGCTCTTGGAAGGGAGCTTCTACAATGCCGACATTTGAAGACAAAATACTGTTGTGACCGTTTTTGAAAAACTAATTCCTATTGTTTAAAAACTTCATCCCTAATTCAGTGAAAAATTGCAAATGCTACATTTTAAAAGGGAAGTAGCAACTTATCTGTAAGGTAGCGTTATTGTCGTGGCATTTTCACATTTACTTGAAGAATTAGCATTAGAAAAAAATCATATCCCTAACGAAATTCACTGTAACGTATTTGGTGGTAAACGGATTTTTTTTATACTCCAACTACCACGAAGGCCTAAGGCCTAAACACCCATTGGGTACCGTGGGGTTATAGGGGGATACAGGGGAAAGGGGGAACGCCACACGGGCTCTGGCGAGGGAACACGTGTGCATGCAACATGCACATATTCTAGCTACGTCTACGAGATCCGCCCGGTGGTACCTACGCGTTCGACAGTCAGAGACCATCTACCACCTACGGACAATCACAACATCCATAGCCAAGAGAAAAGTTTCTCCTGGTACGGGATTCGAACCCGCACAGCGCACGGCGACTGATGAGGAGACCGAAGAGTCTACTACTGCGGCCACCGCTGCTGCCGTTTTAGAAAAATTAATTCCTATTGCAAATCCTACATTTTAAAAGGGAAGTAGCAACTTATCTGTAAGGTACCGTTATTGTCGTGGCGTTTTCACATTTCCTTGAAGAATTAGTATTAGAAAAAATCATATCCCTAATGAAATTCACTGTAACGTATTTGGAGATAAACGGATGGTGCATTGCATTTTAGATTATTAGCAAAAACAAACATGACGGACCCAATAAGTTGATAAGTTGATTTATTCAACATCCTGCACGTAAGAAATTAATAAATTTTAGTTAATACTGTCTTCTGATACCGTTTTCATAAGAAACATCTTGCTCATTTCGGTTGGTCTGTCCGCCTACTTGTTGACATTTTGCAACCAAATAATCTAAAAAACGACAGCACCAATTTGGTTAATACCTAGGAGTGATGTTTAATGGTATCGTAGTAGATAACACTTTATGTCTAATTATGAGTCGCAGTGACATTATGAGCAAAAAGGTTTTAGAATATTGCCAAACTTCGCTTGCACGCTTTACAAGCTTCTGTTAATTTCTGGGTTCAGGCAAAAAGTTGACTCTGGTAAATTTCAGAGCCTTGTCCTTCATTGTTTTGAATATATCTGGGAATATAAATATACATAACGGTCGATTTATTACATTTGTCTGTTTCACGGTTTGTGTGAACGCTTAGAAACAGTGCGTTCTGGAAGGTTCAAGAAGAACTACTCGTGAAATTGCAACGATTTCTCATGGTGAAACCCCAGCAAATATGAGAAAAACTGTCGAAGAAAGTACTCGCTCTTCATTTGATAAGAAGTTCCAAATACTGCTTGTTTATCTACTTGTGAGTGTTGTTCGAAATTGTAGTTGCCAATTTCAAAATCTTGCAACACTACAGATTATCTAGGACTTCTGACGTACCCACCTTGACATTATTGCAAATGGCATGTGTCCCTAGCTGCATGAGATGAACAAATATACTAGCCGCAGATTGAATAATGATCCGGATCCACCGGGCGAAGCCTCAGCAGCATCTTGAAAACGCTAACCATAGCTAACATCATATCAACAAACTAATTATCGCTATTTGCCAGGAGTAAATTACATAGTGGGGGAACTAAATCGGTTACCGCGCACGCGTTGACTAATGGGGGAAACATCGCCTCCCTAACAGTCGAATATAGGCTTGGTGTCTATAGTGAAATCTGAGGCTTGACAGTGGTGGAGATATTTCGCTCATCACATCAAACGAGAATTGTCAGTTTTTGAAGTTAACAATGTGCGTAACCTCAATTCGACTAAAGTTCATTGAAATCCATTTATTTTTATATTACACGTATCAAGCACACATATTTCTGTCCGAATTCGCCAGGTGGCGCTGTCATCGCGCACCCAGCGATAAGGGGTGTGTCATTTTTGGCTTTTTCATATACTATTTGTAAACAAGCAGCTCGGTCTACCTCCATGACTCAACCATCAGCTGGACGGCAGCAAGCATACTTCTTCGGTACCTCATATATCGGTTATCTTAAGAGTCTAGTGTATGTGTTTTGTTATAAGGGACATTTGATAATATTTGTAAGACCCATACGTAGTGACAAGGTAAATCCCAACTTTGAGAAGCATCTTTAGTTAGTTAGGTTGGCGGAATTGAAAGATAATTATAATATCTGGGTAGATTTGCAAAAATTATATGCGGTGACGTAACGTGATTGCTGATTATCATCCTGCCGTGCTATGGATTACTGGGCCGTTTTTTATTTACTAAATGACATAAACAATGCAACACCGACTAGGAGGAGTGCAGAATAAGTTTTTATCAAAATTCAATAAATAATTCTGGGCGTTGCATTTTCTATGTCACTTAGTATATTATTCACCCAGATTTTCCTACCGCTTTACTTCCTACGTGAGTATTGCAATCGGGAAAAATTTAGATATAATGGTTTTTGGATGCCATATGACATCACGAAAAAGCATGCCACTCATTTCCTACGGCCCGTCAGTCGGCCTGGAAAGCCTGCACTGACCTAAATGAATTTTCACACAAG